CGCGGAAAGGGTGGTGGCCGGGGAGGGTGACCGGGCGGCCCCAAAGCCGCGGAAGAAGCGCTCGCGGGCGGCCTTTTCCCACGCGCAGGTCTTCGAGCTGGAGCGGCGCTTCAACCACCAGCGCTACCTCTCGGGGCCCGAGCGCGCCGACCTGGCCGCCTCGCTCAAGCTCACCGAGACCCAGGTGAAGATCTGGTTCCAGAACCGCCGCTACAAGACCAAGAGGCGCCAGATGGCCGCGGACCTCCGCGGAAGAAGCGCTCGCGGGCGGCCTTTTCCCACGCGCAGGTCTTCGAGCTGGAGCGGCGCTTCAACCACCAGCGCTACCTCTCGGGGCCCGAGCGCGCCGACCTGGCCGCCTCGCTCAAGCTCACCGAGACCCAGGTGAAGATCTGGTTCCAGAACCGCCGCTACAAGACCAAGAGGCGCCAGATGGCCGCGGACCTGCTGGCCTCGGCCCCGGCCGCCAAGAAGGTGGCGGTGAAAGTGCTGGTGCGGGACGATCAGAGACAGTATCACCCGGGAGAGGTGCTGCGGCCGCCCTCGCTGCTTTCCCTGCAGCCTTCCTACTACTACCCCTACTACTGCCTGCCCGGCTGGGCCCTCTCCACTTGCACCGCAGCCGCGGGGACTCAATGAGACTGGCCCGCGGGCCGCCAGGAAACTGACCAACCTCCCTTCTCCCCCATCCCAAGCAACCCCGAGTCCCAGCTGCAGGACTGAATGCACCGGACAGTATTTATTATTATTTTATTTGATTATTTTTATTATTATTGTTATTTGGGTAATTTCCCTTCCTCCCTTTCCAAATTGTGACTTTGGTAAACTCCCCTCCTCCCCACTTCAAGCCGAGGACTCTTGTAATTCGGCACAACTAGTTCATGGTATCCATGTGGTTACTCTCTCCGTGTAGACTCCTTTGTTGTTTCGCTGTATTGTTGCACCGGATTGATAGAGACCCGAATCTGGTGTGAAAGAAACGAAAAAGAAGCCCAGGTCAGAACAGAAGATCAAGACTCCCCCTTGGACTGAAAGGAAGATTGTTTTTCTGTTTGTTGGAGTCCTTGGTCTCCCACATTGTTGCAAACGGTGTGTGCCTTGTATGGTGCTGAATGTAAAGAAGCCTCTTTCAGATGTCCCATGCTCTTGTTGCCCATGTTATTCCTGTTCTCCATGGTCCATGGCAAAGGACAAATGTATCCCAAAAGGGTGAGATGTGTATCAATAAGCCAGACCTCTTTTCTCCCTCCGATCTTTCCTTGGTGGGGGCTAATGGGAGGGAGACGTGACGCGTTTTTAGCACTTTCCAGTTGTATTAAAGTTATTATTTTTTATATTCAATGTGAATATTTCTAGTCAGGCTTTTTTAAAAAAAATCGACGTAATGGGGAATTTAGTACCATTCAGTGCCTTTTCTTTTTTTTTCTTGTCTCTCTCTCTGAATCCATCAGCAAGCCTCTCCTTAAGGGAAGAGGGTTTGTGATAATTCGTGGCTTTTTCCTCTTTTAATGGCACTGTGCACTCAACTTAGATTATTTACTTTAATTGAATCGTGAATGTTTGTTTGTTTGTAAGCTCTCCGCTGTACTCTAATTTATAAACTTTAGTTTAAAACCTACTTCTGTCCGTTGAGTCCTTCCTACGTCTTAGGTAGAATTCTAAATATGCGCGGACATCTTTCGTTTAGAAATTCTCTCCTCTCCTACACGGGCGGTCCCTTTGCCATAACGTTTAATTTCCCTATGTGGAAGACAGTTTAGATTTTGGATGAATCTGAGGACCATGAATGTCAGAGCAATTGACATAGATTTGGCCAGATATATTCAGAACGGTAATCTATCTCTTTCTTTCCGAGTGTTTTATACCTTGACTAGTTAAATTACATTGGTTAGAGGGAGTATTCTGACTGCACCGCATTATAAAAGTCTCAAATATATAAATTCGGAAGTATTTGAGATTGCGAGTACAATTTGAATTTACACGAGACCCACTAAAGTGCAGTTTTTGCCGAATGTCCTTTTGTGCATTGGCTCGTTTAACAACCCAGTCAGCTCTTGAGGAAAGAGGGTGGGCAGCTTTCTATTGTTATTACGTTTGCTAGCCATAGTGAATCCTTCAGACACACAGGCCAAAATTGTTGGCTGAGGGGGAGCGTTTGTACTGAGCAAGCCGTCGGCAGCCCACTTAATAATTTCAACAGAATCATTATTCCAAGTCCACTGTATTTTTCCACTGACTCATTCCTGTGCGCGCTGCTCACGTAGCGTTCTAAGGTTACTGTGTATGTATTTGTCAATGCGTGTAAAACTGCAAGCCTGGATCGGGTAGGCGGACAACCGCCTTCCAAACTTCAAGCTCTTAATTAAACGACACAGCCCATATAAAAATGAAATAGCCCTTTGGGGCAGCCGCCCTCATTTGAACGGCTCCCCTAAAAGTTCCTGTAACAAATTATACAGACTACAACATGCTGGCAGCATCATTCTGCTAGTGTTTTATTTCCCCTGGAATTGTACACAAGGGAAAAATGCGGGGGGAGAATTTGTGGCTGCGTGAGTGGTGTGTGGGGATGACTGTGTGCTTTCCAGCTAAGGGTCATGGGTTTTCAGAGTATCAAGCGTAAATTAACCGTTTTTACGTGTAATAATTCCACCCACATTCCTATTGGAGTCGGGGACCGAATGCAAGAGAGCCGGGCTTTACTGTTTCATGCAGTAAGGTCTTTTGAAAGGCGGAGATTCTTGGACACGGGGCCGGGCACATGATAATGGGAAATTATTGCCAAGATCTCATCATCGTTTCCTATTCACCCCTGTCCGGGCTGATTAGAGAGACGCCTGTATTATGATTCGCTCAAAAAAGACTCGCTCGAAAGAACCGAAGCAGTGAAACCGATTTTGTAAACAGACCTGAACGCAACTTAATATATTCGTGCCTGTGGACTTGGGTGTGTGGGGACAGTCCCAGTGCTTTCTCCTGGCTCGTAATCCATAAAGCTAAATTGCTAATCAACCTTCCACCCCACCCCGGATTGTTATTATATTCTACAAAGGCTTCCAACATAAGTGTCTGATGTTGGGTTTATGTGCTCCCATTTAGGGCATATGCCCCACCCGCGGAATATACACAGACCTGCATACTCACACCCACGAGAGATTTATCTTCCTCCTTGAAAATACTCGGGGAAGGCCTCTCTTTTTCTGTCCCCATGGCAGGGAAAGGTTGGAATTCTCCACCGGCGAGTTCCTCGGGGGGAGGAGAGACATGGAGATCCACCGCTCGCCCCCAGCGGCTCCCCTGCTCGGAGGTACCTTTCGTCACCCCAGGGAGTAGTTTGCCTTGGCAAGTGGAGTCGGGGAGAGTTTTGTCCTTCCTTGTAAATATCATTTTTCACGAGATCTAGTTTGTAGATTTCTCACGGTAACTGCACAAATATTGCGCCCCCCAAGGAAAGCTCCAGGAGAGGCTGGCGGGGGAGCGATTTGGAAAGAGGGATGTTTTATTTCGAGTATGTCGCGGGAACGAAATTTCTTAGGCCTAAAGTATTTTCTCAGGCAAAACTCCCGTGGACTTCTGGGGTTGCACGTTCCGACTCGGAGCCCCTCTCTGCCACCTTTAAGGTCCCGAGAACTCTTAGTTCCTCTCGCCACACGCTTTAACATTTGTTTCCGATTTTCTTTTCGCGGCTTCAGTTTTTGCAGGAAGGCAGGCACAGGATTTTCTCTTCCTGCACCCAGCGTTGACTGCTAACGCTGTCAGCCCATCTCAAACGGTGTAAATGGTCAGAGCGCCATTAACGTCAGACGAGTGCTGATCATTTACACCAGAAGATCTGGCCCAAGAAGTCTATGCTAGAAACTAAAAGATGTGTTTGGGTTTCTAGGTTTTGTTTGCTTGTTTGTTTTGGGTTTCTTGTTTGTTTTTTGTAGTAGTAGT